TGGAGGCAGCGGTTTCCTGAGAAAGGCCCTGCAGTGTTCTCCTATCAGCCACATTTTCTTCTGCCAGTACAACTGGGGAGAAGGCTCCTTTCCAAGCATGGATCGAGGGCATCCCCTGGAAGTCGAGGTGGTGGCAGCTCGAGCATCTCTCACTTTAGAGCCTCACTAAGGGGTCTGGAAGGCTGAAGATAACTGTGGTCTCATGCAAACCTAACAAATTAAGAGAACTTGTGTGCTGAACCATCGTTAGGTGATGATGGCACACTCTGCTGCTCGGTGCACGTTACGGCAGTCACACCTGGGCTTGATGCTGCACAGAAAACCCTGTGCAGGACAGACACACCTGGTTATGCTGCCAGCGTGGTCAGGTGGCCCTTCTGAATCCTGCGGCAGAGAAAAAAAAATCACTTTGAAAGGCCTTCAGAGGTCACAGAGAAATGTTTCGTCAATAATCCAATTTAGCATCACTGGCAGAGCTGCGTTTAGACAAACGCTCGTGTTTCGTCAATAATCCAATTTAGCATCACTGACAGCTGCGTTTAGACAAACGCTCAAAGGTGATGTGCTTTATCTACAGCACATTCTTACTACACATTAACTTACACATGTTTTACTTCACATCTTATCTCATCAGGAAAGTCTAGACATGGCCTTGGACAATCGCTGTGTAACATGACCTTAAAAATACTAGTAGAAAAACAACTTTAAACATTAAGCTAATTTCACGCATCCTTTCAGCCACAGAATGACTCCAGAAGTTAATTTTTAAGCACATTCATTTCAAAGGAATGTCTGAATTAATAATTAATTTTTTACATTTACACGAACAAGCCAACTGCCCAAATTTCATGCACGATATACCTTACTGAAGACAGCTAAGAAGATATACAAGGCTAATTTTCTCTCTCCCCCCCACTTTGATTGCTTAACGCCCCAAGGAAGAGCTTTATTTTTACAGCTCATTGCAAAGTCTTTCCTTTAACAAGGAACATCTTCAAGTACAGGAAACTATCCAAGTTTACTCGTCCCAGTGTGCCTGAAGTGAAAATACAGTTCACCTACTTCCTTCCTTAACAGTGAGGCTCCTTAAGCAGCCACCATGTAGGTAACTACAACGAATCCCTCCCTTCTACACGTTTTTGCATTTGCCTCACTGTCTAATAAAAAGTCTCCCAGACAAAATTCTCTTAAATGAGGCTGTTCTTTCCTTCCGTTAAATGGTGCTTTTATCTTTCACTGGAGCGCCGTTACAGCCAGACCTTGACTTTACAGGCGCCGAAGGAAAAAGGAATCGTTGCAACCTGAAAAACTGAGTGCCACCACTACTTCGAGGGACAAAGAGGTGCCACTAGCACCAGTTAAACAGCTGCTACTGGGGAAAGAGATGGAACGGCGGTTACAGTGGCGTAAGTGGTCTAAATTGGTACGAGACCATACAGAGACCCAAAGCTGCTCCTCGAGCCAGGTCCAACTCACGTTCGACTTAATATCTCGGCAGGTGGGCGGCTGCTGATCCACAGCAAATTTTAAAACCACCGCTCCCAAAAGCCAGTTGAAGAGTAATTGTAAAGCTTTACATCTGCCAGTAGCACGCTGCTCTGAACTGCCCACTGGCAAAGAAACAGCTTGCGTTTTCACGCGGGCTGAACCAAAGTTTTCAAACTCCCTGCACCCAAAATATCCAGCTGCTGAACTGTATCAGCGTTCAGATGTCTCTCTGTAACAACGGGAACACTTCTGACATTACTGACACCAGGTGAACCAACACCACTGAAGCAAACTGGTAAAGCAGGTGTAATTTTGGCACGTCTAAGTCAAAACTGGCAACTTTCAGACTCTACCAAACACAACGTCAAACATTATTTTTGTCAGTGCTTGCCTGCATATAAGCAAAGAGCTATATGGGGAGGAGCTGTACTTCATGGAAAAAGAATTCTGGTGAACTGGAGGTTTCTGGTTACTCAGACATCTTTCAAGTAAGGGGGCAAAAGGCACATGAACGTGTTTCCTTTGTAGAGCACAACCGACGAACTCGTCAAATTCTGACACCTCAGAGTTATCAACCTGCTTTCTACCAACTCAAATATGCAAGAAAACAACACAAAATGGAAGTAAGAAGCACAGAGAACAAGTCAGAAAGCAGATGGAAGAGACAGAAACAAGCAGGCGCAGGATGTCTTCAAAAAACACTCATTAGATGAAAAAAACATTAGTTCTTATTAAAAAGGAATAAATACAGTACATGAAAAACAAGATTTTCTCCCTGCAGAAGTATTTTCATTAGCATCTACTGTATGCCATGGGGCAGCAGCAAGACCAGTTAACTTTACAGCTTGGTTCCCTGCACAGCAGCAAAGCAAGAGAGAATCCGGAAAGAAACCTGCACTGACAGTCACAAGCAGCTCCTGTTGGAATGAAACTTTTACCCAATAAAGGCTGAAACTGATTCTGTTCTACTTCTGCAAAAATAGATGGCACAAATATAAGTCCTACATCTGTTCGTAAGGAGGAACAAAGTGAAATATTTGGCACAATACACAAGGATGTAAGAATAGAGATGATCACAAAAGGAAAATGTTAATTTAAACTTGAAGTATTTGCATGATGTTATGTAATCGGAAAAGTCCTCCCAGGAGAGAAGAAGAAAACCTGTCATTTCACAGTGATTCGGTCCCGCAGGCAGATGCTGGGATGACAAAGAGACAAGGCAAGTGGTTGTCAGACGTAGGAAGTCGATCCCAAGTCTTTCTACTTTTTCCTGTTAGGCTTTACACACAGAAGGCAACTTGCTCTCTAACATGAGAGCGTCCTGCAGTCGGCTCACGATTCGTCCACCTTTGAGAGTAAAACTATAACCAAAACCCAAACCCCACATATGCACTCTTAGCACTCCAGATGCCCAGCAGTTAGGCTGGTTTTCATCCCAGTATCACGAGATGGGATTCACGCCCCTGAAGTTCATACCACACATACAAAAACACATAGAGTCTAAGAAACTTTCACCATATTAGTACCAAGGATGTTCCCCAGCAAACCGAGTACTTCATTACCACTGACCTGAAGCCATAAACATGTAGCTACTTCCTCAGGTCAAATCTAATTTCAAGTTCACACCTTTTCTAAATGCACTTTACATACGCAACAAAACAGAAACCATAAATTAATTGCTTTCTCTCTCTCTCTCCAGCGTTGGAAACTTTGAGCACTCCTCCCAGTTACAGGGATAAATACAACCACATGTACAAAAAGGTTAAAAAGAAAAAAGACCCATTTCCACAGCACCTAACTGTGACCTGGAGAGAGAGCTGCCTCGGGCAGAGGGCCTTCCAGCACTCGGAGCAACAGCCAGCTTTGGGTGCAGGCACTGGCTTGCTTTTTGCTTGCAGCCTATGGAAAAACACAAACCCAGCCAGCAGCGAGCAGCAGCAAGACAGAACTCAGCCCAACTCGCCGAGAGAACGCTGGCTAGTAACTTATTTCTACAAGTTGTACTAGTCAATACTGAAAAGCTGCTTAAAAAAGAAAAATCTTCTTGCTCTAGAGGTGCTTCCCACATCACTTGTTGTCCAGACCCTATTTGCTTTGTAGATAACCCAAGGGAATTCAGTTCCCGATTCATCAACTCAAAAGATACAGATCTCTTCGGGAGTCTGAATAAAGGCAACACATACACCACGGAGGGACAGGAGCTGCAGGCATACAAGGACATAAACTTCAAGGTTTTTGCACCACAATAGCATTAACTCGCAGTTCATCAGGAGACTTTATTAAGCCTTCACAAAGCAGCACTGCTCATGGCTTGAAACTGAAAGAGGGGAGATTTAGATTGGATATAAGGAAGAAATTCTTCACTCAGAGGGTGGTGAAGCACTGGCACAGGTTGCCCAGAGAAGTTGTGATTGCCCCATCCCTGGAAGTGTTCAAGGCCAGGTTGGATGAGGCTTTGGGGCAACCTGGTCTAGTGGAGGGTGTCCCTGCCCATGACAGGGGGGTTGGAACTGGATGATCTTTGAGGTCCCTTCCAACCCAAACCATTCTGTGATTCTATGACCTCATCCAATACAGGAACAAGTTACTACGCAGCTAAGCATTAAATTCTGGATCCGTTAACCTAGTGGTGACGAAGCCTATTCTATACAACTTTCCATTTTTTAAAAAGATCTGCTTGCTTAAACTCACTGCAGATCAAGTTATGATAAATCAAACCTGCCCAGTTAACAAACCAAACCACAACAGAAAACCAGCACACGCAGATAGAGCCCTCAGGTCTTGAACACATGGAAGGTATCCAAAACGGATGACAGAATCATAGAATGGCTGAAAGCTGATGTCACAGAACAGAACCACTGCCAAAGCAAAAGGGGCCTGAACAACTTGTCAAAGGGTCCTTCCCTTTGCAGCGGCCCACACGGACAGTAAGTGACAGAATCGAAACTCGGGCCAGTCAGAATTGCTATTTCAGCCTGACCTACGTTTTTCCCAGTTGAATCAGAGCCACACGGCCATTTGGCAATCCCCAGGTTTTATCACAGGTCAGTGTTGAAAACCATGGGCTCAGTCACACTCCAGAGCTCTGCCTTCAAAGCCAAAGTTGAAGCAATTTGTCAGTTTTCCTCCAAACAGCTTTTGTATTTAGGAAACTCCCAGGTACTCTCAAACACAAACACAAGCTCTGAAATCGTTGCCCCCTTCTTGTACTCCTTAGGTTTCAGCCAGCCGTTGTCAGAGACACAAGAACTGCCCCATGGAGTCCAGCTACCTTCAAAAAAGATGATTTTTTTTTTTTTCCAAGTGATACATCACCTGCTTGCTAATAGTGCTAAACCTGACAAGGAGTTCTCAGGTTTGCCTTCCCACATCGAGATCCCTGCACATAAAACACCAGCAGTACTCACCACACCTCGGAAATCCCTGTCATTTAACAAACCTTGGAAAACTTGCAAACCCCCCTTTGGCACACACCTTTGAATAAATGAGCCTAGTGAGCTCCGAGCACATACCTGCTCCTCATCCTTTGCGAAGGGCATCTCGACTCCTGAACTCCCTTCCCTGTCTCCAGCGTGCTCATTTTCCCACGGCAGTTTGCTTTTCCCTTTACCCGCACTCAAGACTTTCCTTGGACCCACTCCTTGATGGGCAAAGGCGCCGTGTGAGCTGGAACTTTGCAGAGCACCGTCCTGCACGTGATGGCCACAGTAACTGTGTGCGCTCTGAGTCCTGCTGCCCATCAGCAGCCAGTCTGTATCTGCGCCAGGGGGCAAACACGAGCCCCTGTTACGACCAGAAGAAGGCAAGGGCACAGCGTACTCCACAAACCCCTGGTCCACTACCTTCGGCAAAGTCTTCCTGGCCAGCCTGGCCTGCACTGCGTGCACCACCCCGCTCCCGTTGTCCTCAAGCTCCACGGCATGCACCGCCTTGAAGAGAAGGGCGGTTTTGCCCGGGCCCATGGAAGACGCCAGCACAGCGAACGCTTCCATGGCAGCATGCCGGACCCTGCGCTTGCTGTCCACCAGTGCCGGAGCCAGCCCGAACGCCAGCTTGGCCAAGTCCAGCTCCTCGCCGGGGTAAGTGAGGAGGGCCACGATGCAGATGTTGACCACCTCCTCA